ATCGAACGGAAGATAAAACTTTGACGCAAAGAATCATAACACGAGAAAGCTGCAGCGTAAGTGGAATTAAGAGGAGTGAAAAGTCTCGGCCACTCCATTAACCGTTTTATACGGAAGCGAGCCGAACTCTGTGCTAATATTTACGCAAAACGAAGTTCTCCCAGCAATCCTACCTATTTCCCCTCCTCAAACTGGCCAGGTAAAAAGTTCAATGCTGAAAGTTTACAGTTCCCTCGACAAAACTTTCCTCCAAGTTCGTCTCACTTTTGTCACCAACTTCTGAATCTTCCTGATAAAAGAGAGAGAGAGAGAGAGAGGAAATGTATCGACCTTACGCGTAATCCATGACGATTCTTCCGCCCCGTTAAAAACTCGAATATATTTTCTTTCGAAGTCGAAACCACGAATTCGAATTATTCCACTGGAGATCTCTTAACTCTCCGATCTACTCTGATATTGCAAAAGAGACTTGCGAGATTTACGAGCTAGTAGATCCAAGAAAGGAAATTTACGATGTTCTTGGAATATTTTTCTCGTCTCGTTGTTGTAATATAATAATAAAAATGGTCGATCGTTGGAGCTGGCTTCGCAAGAGGGAGAAATATTACGTCGTGATGAAATGTGATCGAAAATTAAAAGATTTTCAAATTTGGATTTATCGCTGGACGCGCTTGAATAAATACGTTGGATCACCCTCGTCTCGATCATTTGAATAACCGATAATCAACGTTCCACCGTATTACATCGCTCATCTCGGTCATTTAGATAATCGAATTCGGATAATCGACGGTTTTACCGCATTAGATTCTCTCCACCGTTTTGCAATCCATCTCATCCTGACTTCCACAACCATCCTTCCAAGAGTAGGGATCAATTATCAATATAGGATCTGTCTCGACGATCTCCGCGTTATTAAAAACCAACAAGAATCCTCGGAATTATATCGATCTCTCTACAAAATAATTTTATCCCTTTTGCAAATTAATTTCTTTCTTTCTTTCTTTCGTCTGGAAGAAGATCTCATCTTGGCCATCGTGAATGAGTTGTTGTTGTTACAATGCGTGGCGAGTCGTGAATGAAGGAGAATGCATCGTATTGATTTCAATGTTGCTTCGCCCCTCGTTCATCACCGCGTGATAATATAATCGCGTGGCCGACTTTAAATAATTTCCGCGCTTCTCTATCTCGATGGATACGAATAAAAGAATCGAACGAAAATCGTCGTGGAGGACTTTTGCCGGGCGAAATTGTGAGAGAAAAAAAATATATTCCAAGATTTCTCTCGCGAGGAATAAGTAAATGATAAAGAAACGGAAAGGGGAAAATGACGAGCAGGCGTTGGAAGAGGTGAAGGATAAATTGTGAATCGTGATAAATTAAAAATATCCCGAGATTTCTCGGGGATAGTGAATAAATAAAAGGGAAGGAAAGGGAAGGGCTCAAAGGAACACGCGTTTTAGAGATATAAACTTGGTTAAATTAAAATTCTCGCACGGAATAAATAAATAAATAAATAAATAATAGAAATAAAAAATAAATAGAAAATACGAAATAATCCTTGCTACTAAAAGAACTACTTCAAAGAAATGCTCGTTTATCCTCGTGGATTAGAAATATTTCTTCTTATTTTTTCTTAGAAATATTCAGACGAAAAGAAGAAAAAAAAGAATGAATGAAAAATATGCCAAGACCGGTCGCACGGGAAAAAATAAATAAATAAAGAAAGGGTGTAGCAAGAAAGGCGAGGAGTGAAAGGCACAAAGGGAAGGAGAGAATTCCAGACAGCCTGGTGCGTCCACGTGTCGTCACAAGGAAGAGCGGCCACGCTCTTTATACGGGTGAAGTTGGACGTGTGCCCGTCAAAGCTTCGAAAGTTCAAAGGAACGGCTCTCGAACGACGTTGCACGGCCTCGTTTGCCCGGCGGACCGGCCAAGTTCGTCGAGCTTTCGATCGCGTCCAATCAGGGTTCGTCGAACCGGGTGTTATCAGAGCCACGATAAAGGTCTCCGATAATCGATCGCCGGAAAGGAGGTTCTCGGTCACCGAAACTTTCGACCACGTTCTCCCAACTTGTTATTGGGTGAAACGGGTTCAAGATAGGGAGAAATATCTTTCCAAGCGAATGGAATTCTCGAACACTTGTTAATAATTATTTAAATTACTTAGTAATTATTTAAATGTATTGTAATCGAGTGAATTACGTTTTTCAGCGAAATACAATTATGGAAAGTCGAAAAAAAAAAAAAGAAATGGAACTTCCATCTTGACAAATGTCGATCGATGTTTGATGGTAAGAAGGAATAATAAACAGTAAAAATAATTAATAAGAGGAGACGCGTTTGGAAATTTCTTTTAAACCGAAGATTAATTCGATTTTTCTCCGCTTCCCTAGGAGGGAAAGGTGATGCGATAGGTTCGGGTTTTACGAGTTAAGCAAAAGTTGTTACGTTGTAACAACGCAACGGTAGAAGTAATGCAAAGTAGTACAGGTGATAAGCAAACAAGATAAGCGTTATAAAATATCGAATACGCTATTGTTCGCTTATATACGACGTTATAAAGGATTAACATTGTGTTTAAAACGTGTTTGCGCGAACATAATACGAAACACGTTGTTTCTATTCTTCTGAAATCGAGAAGTATTTTCAATTTTACAAACAATGATTTTCCATCTTTCTCGCTATACTCCATTGAAATAATTCTTTCATTCGCAAATTGGAAGAGGAAGAGGTGTCACGCCGCTTATAAAAATTTGATATCGCGAAATTGGAGACACAGAAATATTATAAAAACGTTTCGTTCAAAAAAAAGTTGGTAATTTTTGCAAAGTTTTTTTTTATCTACTAATCCTTATATACATATTTTTGCGCGTTGCAAAATTTCATTAATTAATTTACGCGTATTTCGAGCCAAAAAAGAGGAAGAGGCGAAAATCGCGAAATTGCGAAAATTATCCCGTGAAAAGATACTCTTCCTAAAAATACGTTTCACGTAGAGTAAATGGTAGCTTCAAACTGGTGGATAACGAGTAACGAATTCTTAGAGATTGAAGCACGAGGGATTGAAGTGGAGGCCCTTGTTTTTCCTTGTATAAATAATTACGCTATTTTAGCCAATTGTTTACTATCCCACATATCGTAGTTGGCCGACCAACGGTTTTGCTTATCAATGTAGGTCGTGGTTTGCTTTGTTCACAGGGATGCTTTCCTCCCTCTTTCGCAATAAAACGTATTGCCGATAAACATTTAAACACGCGAGAACGATGCTTCAATATTTATTAATTTTAAACAATCGTCGTTTTATTACCGCGAGAATCGCAAAAATTTCCGATCCACAAAAATATGCGGTATATTTTTCCTTTTTTTTTTATTAATTTTGTATCGAGCGAGAACGTTATGTTGAATGCATTTGACTTATCGTTAGTCCTGTCAAAAGAGATTTTTATTTTCATTAGAAATTACTAATCTTGCTTTACAATGCGACCACTTTCGATCCATCTATCGTTGAATACGAATCGATCAAAATTATAGCCACTCTTCCTTTTCGATATTGATCCCTTCTTTCGAAACAACCGATTTGCCAAGCGAAATGAAACACTGCCACCGCTTTTTCGTTTCTGTTATATCAAAGAACGAGGACTTTCTCGACAAATTTTTCACTCCGGAATCCGAAATCGAATCGAAATTACAGACAAGAAATTAATATCCCCGGAAGACGAGTATTCCTCCACGCTGAATAAAAAGATGGACGCTTGAAGAAACGAAAGGGAGAGAGGGCCGATACAGGGGAGCGAAAATGAAAAGGAAAACGAAGAGGCCAATTTGGCCGCGTTTCGATCGGGCAAATCTCGATTAATTTAGCCGGTGCACGCGTCCGTCCGCCACCGGCCGAGTTAACGAGCGTAATTAGATAAGCCGGGATTAGTCTGCTACGTAATTCACCGTGGATAATTGCAGTGTCATCGTTCGACGTGGAGCGATGACGCTCGCTCATTCATCCGGAGAAGGGCGAGGGGGAGGAGTTGAACAGAGGAAACGAACTCTAGCACGCTAATCTCGTCCGAAAGCTCGTCGAGCGAAGCAAATAATCGATAACGGGTTTGTTTGATTCCCCATTTATTCGCCGTTCCGTGTGATCTTTTATTAATTTTTCCACGGGGGACGACGAGTCTCGCCAAGGAAATTTATCATCTCACGATTCGATAGATCTCGTTCGTGTCACGTTGGAGAGAACGAAGAGTGTTTCACGTAATCGAGACTTAAACGAAGATTTAAGTAAGATGTTCAAATGTTATTTATTTGTACAAGTATTGTCGTTAAATATTATATTTCGAATACGTAAAATTATTGAAAATTAATTATTCGCGTTTGTACATGCTTGTAATAAATCTTGATTAAGATCTTGGATAAATGTTAATTCTCTAATATTCCTATACGCCGCGATGCGCCGTTGATCTTTCTTAATTACGTATCATTAATTAATACGCCTCGTTGATTTGAACATATTTGAATCAAAATATGAATTTATCAGTTTAACCTTATCAGCTTTCTCTTTCATCGCGGATGAAATCAGAGACACGTTCAAAGTGTGAATTTGTTGAGTCCGTTTATTCAAACAAGCAATCCTTATCACTCGATGTTTATAAATGTTTCAATTTTGTGTTTGTATTTATCCACAACCGAGGATAAAGATAAGCGTGTAGCTGTAGAGATAAGATTGTGAACCTGCCACTTTTTCGACATTGATCGATCCCCAGTTTTTGCATATCGCGCAATTATCCATCTGTTCGGTATCGTTGAACACGAATTGCGTTAAAAAAAATTGCGCGGTTAACTTACTAGTCTAACTAGTTCCTTTAGAATCACCCGGATCCCATTTTTCTTCTCCTTCCTCCTCCTCGATTGAGAAAGAAATGTAAATTTTTTCCCTCGAGCACAAGCGGTTTTAATCCCGTTTAAACCTCCATTCGTTTCGACGAATCCGCCATCTATCACCGTTCATTCCCTCCTCCTCTTCATATCAAAGTAGAATCAAAGGATGCAATGGCTCGAAATTCGCGGCAACACTCTCGAATAATTCGTTTCCGCCGCGTTTTCCATTAACGCCGCCCGAAATCACCGCGTCGTAAAACTAATGGAATCCCCTTGGCCGGGGGAATGCCGCACCACGGGCTATCGATCCCTCGCAGCAGACGGTTGCCACCACGATGGGGAAGACGAATGGAAAACGTTCACCCCTCTCTCTCTCTCTCTCTCTGTATCGCAACAAAACCTACGATCGTTTGAAATTTCGAAAAAAAAGCGTGCCCCAACCGATTGGACGTGGTTCGCGCTCGAACGATCGAGATTGAAAGTATGTAGCGAATTTTTCCGAATAAAAAGGATTGTTTTTTGGTAAAAGTATTCGCAACAATGGATCAGATTCGATTAGACGAAAGAATTCATTATGATTATTTACTTGAGCGTAAGAGAATAGATCGAAAATAGGTTCTGTTCGCACGTGGAATTCGTAATCATTCGTGGTATCAAATATCGACAAACAGGCTCGACAACGATATGAGATTCCTCCAATTAAAATCAAGCACCCGTACATAACCCGTACTTCAAAGTTGCAACAACGATCAGAACTTCTCCAACGTTCGAAGGCCAATCTGGAAGACAAAGGACGAGACACAATGCGCGTATCCAAATCTTGCAACATTCTCAAACCGCGTCGAACAACGCATCGACACTTCTCGACAACGAGCAATCTACAATCCGATGCATCGTCCCAAGATCGATCTCAAACAAACAACGTCAAACTTGGATTTCTCGCTCCTCCCATTCGAGCATCCATCCCCGTGAAACGAATTGGAATGGATTCAGATCGAATCCTGGAAATAAAGAAGGGGGGGTCGATACAGAGAGGATCGAAAAGCGAACAATGGCGCACAAGCGAGATCACGAATAAGAGAGGTAAGCTTAATTTTCACCGGGAAGAATCGAATGGGGAAAAGGAGGAGCTTCTCGTGTTGGAACAATTTATTTCGTCCGGCTTCAGGGTGCGCAAAAACGAACCCCCCCAAATGCAACCTTTCGCAAAATACTGGGTGCAGTACACATGTATAGAGATACATACACACTACTCCACGCGTTTTATCGCTCTTCAAACGTCTCTTTCTCTCCAACGTTTGCGTTATATAGATTCGAGGTTGAAAGCTTCTAAAGTTCACGAGTCAAAGCCGCGTACGCGCTTTTCAAAGAGCTTTCCCGCGCTCGTCATCGTCGCGAGCTATGGCATCGTGCTTTTAGCTCGTCTCTCCTCCTCCTCGACTCGTTTCCTCCCCGCCCTTACTTAACGAGTCCCGATCCGTGGTGCAATCGTGTACGTGCCTTTCGCCGAAAATATCGAAATCGCGCGATTGTTCTCCGATAATGGAACAAACTTGCCTTTTCAATCTTAACCGAGAGAAACTTCCGAGAGAAATTTTAAATTTTCCCCTCCGATTTCTTTCGAATTAAAAATTAATTATTGCGAATAATCTCGAATTATATCTCGAGAGAAATTTTTGCGGTTAAATTGAAAAGATTGTAATTACCATTATACGAATACGAAGCAAGTTTTTACTCGTTAGAAATAAGAAAAAGAATTCTTTTTCCTTCCGCTCTAATGTAATCGGCCAACCCTCTCTAATCGTACCTTTTGTCGAGAAAAATAGGTACGAGAGAACGGAGAATAAATAGATCACGAGGGTAGGTGGTCGGACGAATGGAAACGCAGTTTGCGGTTGGGATAGGATCGGTTGTTTGGACGAATTTTAGGGGGGAGGGATAAGTAGATCGAGGTCGTGACAATTACCAATCGATAGATCGGTGCTTTCTTAGCTTTCTTTGTTTGATCCTCGTCTTTTAAGATCGGTAAAGAGATATTCGCATGGAAAATTTCGCATCCCACGTAATTCTCATGGAAAAAATTGAAAAAGAAGTAGTTAATCGTCACAATAAGACCTTTAAACTTGTTTCAACTTACGCGCTGGTATCGTTCACCTCATTATCTCATAACATTGCATAATCATTTACGCTACCGATAACGCGTTATCGGTTGTCTCCGTCAAACGACAACCATCTATACGATAAGCACAATAATTGTGCCTCATTCACCGAGAGAATGTACACGCGCGTGGATATCGTAAAAAAAATTCCAAGATAAATCGAATCGAACGATCTTCGATCGGAATTACGCCATTCGAAAATTCTTCCAATCTCTTGAAAAGCGTGTGATGTACAATATAACAATCATTGTGCATTCATTGTTGAAAATTTTGATCTCACGAAATTCGTGTCGAAACGATGATCAATTTTAATTCGTGCAGCATGAATGTAGAATTAGGGGAGGGAGAATAAATGAATTAATCACGATTAATTAATCGTGATAATTATAATTCAAACGATATAAGTCGAGCGACGTTGTTGTTTCGATTGTTCTAATTGCAAATTTCGAGGGAAATCGAGGGTAAAGGATGATTAAGCGGATTGATATTCGATTCGTAATCAGACAAGACTCGCGACACAGCGAATTATTTATATTATTATTGCGCGAGTTAAATACGAATGGATTAAACGGATCACGAGTTATGATACGCCATTATTCCAGATCTCGTCGTTTATCGAATTTAAAGGCGTTCTTCATCGTGGCAACTTCATCTTCCGATTTCGTGTGTTTTCCTCTTATTATTTTATTAGCTCGAGAAGGAGAGAGAATTCGAAAACGGTGAAGTTACAACTCTGGCAAATTTATTTCTGTAAAATTACCATTCCAATAAAACCAAGTTTACGCGTTACCGTCACGAATTAGCCAATAAACTTTGCCAAACGTTTAATCCGAATTAAAGAAATAAAAGTAAATATATCCACGAGGATGGAAATCCCTTTTTGTAATTTGTCTTCTCGGTATTCCTTAATATGTAAAAATCATTTTACAGAAAGAAGAAATTTTTAATTGAGAATGAAAAGACTATTCGCCATAGCCGCCTCAATCGATCCACTAAAAGCATTCCCGATAAAATAAATTCCGATTTTCGAACTGATTGCAACGTATCTTTCGTATAAATCAAATAACAAATGTACATATGTACACGTGAACGGAGTATTTTCAAACTGATCATTTTTACAAGGAAATGGAAGCGATAAAACTTGATATTCAAACAGATGTTAAGGAACGAGACGGTATTTTTTTTTTTTTTCCGTGTCACGTTGCGCTGCAGCATCCATTAAAAAAAGAAAAAAATAGAAAAAGAGAGGAGAGTTAAATTGTCAAAAATAACAATTCTCTTTGCCGAAGAGAAAAAATCTATCCCATCCAATTTCCATATAAATACTTGCTCGCTATGTTCATCACGTTCAGTTGCGTGGAAATGTTAAAACGAGATGCATTGTGTTCGGAAAGTTATTTTAGATGGAAAAAGAAGAGAGAGAGAGAGAGGAGTTGCTTGCGTTGGTTCAATGTCGATTCGAGGTATTTTCTGGCCAATATTTAATTTCAACAAATAAAACGAACAAGATAACGGCGAAGTTCTTCGAGTTTCTGTTCCGCGAGAACGTTACAATTTTTTCGATTCTAACACGCGTGATTTCACGAGGAAGATTAAAGGATCCGTTGAAAAATTTTTCAATTTCACAAAACTTAAGATATTTAAATTTCGATAAATTATCAATTCTAATTTTAAATTGGGATTAATCCGAAGCAAAACCGATAATTTCAATCGAAGTAGCAATTTTAAGCGAAGATAATTCGAAACAGGGATGATTTCAAATCCTAAATTGAGCTTAAACACCTATGTCAATTTCGACTGGTGTTGATATTGCTTCAAGATAATCGACGAGGATAATCCCAACTCTATCAACCCATGTTCAGATGATCCTAAATTGCGACCTAATCTTAGCCCCTCTCAACACCCTTAATCTCAACCCACGCTAACATCCCGAAATACTTTCCCAAATACAACCAATGGTTTTTTCTCAAATTTAATTAATCAAATTTTCCCTATTCCTCAATTATCCTAAAAACATTATACATACTTAAACATAAATATATACGAAGAATATATGAGTATAACTCTGCAAAAATGTCGAACAAACGAAATAAGAACTTTAAATTTTCAAAACCTTTCAACTACTCTTCCCTTCCTCCGACTGCAAATTTAAATCCGATAAATAATCGATATTTTTGCACCATCTTCGATTCCTCCCGTGTCTCGAAACGAATACATCAACTCGGTTCGAAACCTCCCATCCGCAAACAAACAAAGGCCGATAACAAAAACTCGGTTGCAAAACAAAAACCAGGAGGAAACGTATAATAACAAACGTTTAACGCACATTTCGAGAAACACCTGCGCGTGTTGCCTTTCAATTGTGTTTCCTACGCTTCTCGGTTATTTAATTACGATCGGCTCGGTTTGAAAAGTCAGTCGTCGTCGACTGCCATCATTTCGAATCGAAGCTACGCCTCTCGCCAACGTCGCTCGTAATCTCGCGAATTTACGGCCCAAGGTGCATCCAGCGCACCTGTGTGATCGTTTTCACGACCGCCCCAACCTTGTTGAACTCGTGTCTGGACCGTCAATATGGCTGATCCGGGTGATATGACACGGCCGATCGCGTAATTTATGCGAGCGTAAAAACGGTGCACGCTATTAAAGTCGTTTCGTGGAAGTTGTGCGAATAAATCGCAATATTGTTGCGCGGTTTTGCGATCAGGTGGACGTTTACGACGACGTATATTATTGGCGGCTCGTTTCGTTTCGGTTTTTCGCGAAGAAGATATCGTTGATTTTTTTTTTTAACAACTCGTTATATAATTGTTGCTGTTCAAGGCTAATTTATGAATATAAACGATACGTGATTAAAAAGGAATGTTTCCAGAGAGAGGATAATTTTATGAAATCGGTTTAATGAAATACAATTGCTAATGATGGGATAATAATTTTCTTCTTTTTCTCTCGCGGATTCTTTTTTACGATAGTGGTATATAA